CCCCCCCCCCCCCCCCCCCCACGGTCAAAGAACCACGAGCGGCCTGTATTAGGCAGGAGGCCATGGCGTGGGCAAAGGGCGGGTGTTCAGACACCAGGTCCTCTGTCGCAAGTTGTGCAAGGCTGCCCTTTTGAAAGGGATCTTTGAAGGGTTTAGAGTTTAGAGTGTAGGGGTTTAGGGTCTAGGGTTTAGGGTTTAGAGTGTAAGGGTTTAGGGTCTAGGGTTTAGGGTTTAGGGTTTAGGATTTAGGGTTTGAGGTTTGAGGCACTGGACGCGTTGCCACAACAGAGGTTGAGGGGATGGAGTTTTGGGGAGGCTTAAGGCGTGAAAGGCATCCCTTCAAGAGATCTACAGGGGGTACCTGTACAAGGGGTAAGAGATCCACAGGGGTTCCTTTAAAGGTTTCTTTTGGGTATTCCTTTATATAAGGCTTAAGCGCTTAGAGTAAAAACAAGGGACTTAGTAGTTATGGGATCCGTAGGGATTCCTTTAAAGGTTTCTTTTTGGTATTCCTTTGAGGCTTAGGGGTAATTCAGGGGTTTAGTATTTAGGGTGTTGGGTTTTTTCGGGTGTGGGTTCCTTTTCGGGGTTCCCTTTAGTACTAGGGTTTATGCTTCTAGGGTTTATCGGGGTTGGGTTCTGTTTATGGTTCCTTTAAGGTTTAGGGTTTCGTACCCTAAACCCTGAACCCTTGCCCTTACCCCTTGAGACTCCTCGAAGAGAAGCCACTTGGGGCTTGGGGATTTCAGACTGGCGCCCGACTTTGGCTAAAAGAAAAGCTCGTGCCGAGGCATCCTCTTCCTCCGTGATGACCCGCTTATAAAGCTGCTGGAGCTTAGCCAGGTCAGACTTACCAATCGTACCCGGACGTGCGAGAAGTTCAGTGGCCTTGGCCCGCAGTTCGCCACTTATCGGCACCGATGCATGGACAGCAAGGCAGTCATGACTGCAGGACCCGCGGATCCGGAGGTGAGACAGGGCCGGAGGCGGCTCTTGCCGAGGGACCCACGGCGGGAGGTCCGAGTCCTCAAAGCAGAAGAGGTCCGGATACAGCCACGTTCTCTCATTTCTAGGGGTTCGTACCAGGGCTCCTTCTGCTCTTCCGTAGAAGGTGACCCAGGTTTGGGGCTTAGGGTTTAGGGTTTAGGGGTTTTGGGTTTTAGGGGTTAGGGTTTAGGTTTAGAGGTTTAGGGGCTTAGGTTTTTTTTTCCATGCAGTAGCCCCTTTTCTCCGCAGAAGCTTAGGGTTTAGGGTTTAGGGGGGCTTCGGGGTGTGCTGGTGCGGGGCAAAGGGGACGTAAAGAGGCTGAAGGGTTCTACCCCTTACTGCCACAACCCCTCTAGTCCCCAGAGAGCTCACGACCCCCAATAAGGAACATAGCTTTAACATGCTTTAATCTTGATATGCTTGATATGAAGCCCCGTATAATCTAAGCTAGATTCCTTAATTGAAGCTGTATTGGGCTCTCTGGGTCTAAACTCAAAACCTTCAACACCAACGCCCAAAACCAGATGGCACGGTCCCCCAAATCCATCTCGGAGCTCTTCTCCTGATGGGAACGAGGGTGCTGTACAGGATCTTCCGGGTAATCTTCCGGGATTAGGACGGTTTAGGATTAGGGCTCATGTTTGAGTATCGGGCTGAGGGCTTGTGTTTTTGGGGTGCGGGCTTGTATCGGGGGCTGACATGTTGGAACCAGGTCTTGGGAGTTTGAAACTGCCTTGTATTTGTTACGTAGCATTCGGGCACCGACTTGAACACGATGAGGGATCGAGAGGAGTCTAATATAGGACCTTATTGATTTGAACAGGGCTTTGGGGTATATTGCATTAGAACTACAACAAGGAGCCCCCGAAAAACGATATTCATTAGAGTTTCGGAGCTTAGGGTTCGGGTAAGAAGATGGAAAATGATCCAGTCGGGTTTTGGCCTTGCCGGTGTAAACGGTGTAAAACTTAACTACACGCGCAGATGCTTGAGAGCTCAGGGGCATCAAAGCAGAGACTGAGAAGGAACAAAGCCTTAGGGTGTTGAAAAGACGGGCCTTAATAATCAGAATAGGGTTCTGGGGGTTCCTTACTATATATATATATATATATATAGTAGCAAGGGCACCAACACCCTATTCTAGTTATTAAGGTCCTCTATTAGGGTCTGGGATTTAGCCCCGGCTTAGTGACAAAGAGAGGCCTGACGCGGCTATGAGGCTTTGGAGAAGCAATATGTCACGGTTCTCTGAAACCCAGCACACGGTTTAGGGGCTAAGGTTTAGGGTTTAGGGGTTAGGATCCAAAACCCTGCTACTTGAAGGGCCAAACCCTGAGAACCCTCTATGTAGTCTGCAGGACTTTGGGCTACTGTTCGCGACTACGACTACTACGACTACGACGACGACTACGACTACGACGACGACGACGACGACGACGACGACGACGACTACTACTACTACTACTAGTGCTACTACTACTGCTACTGCTACTGCTACTGCTACTGCTACTGCTACTGCTACTGCTACTGCTACTGCTACTGCTACTGCTACTGCTACTGCTACTGCTACTGCTACGAGACTATGATGACTACCACGACGGAAGCCCCAGTACACATCTTGCTTTGGACTCAGGCGGTAACTTGTTTGTAATATAGGGGCCTTGATGATTAGAATAGGGTTTTGGGCCCATCATACTATAATTATACTAAGGAACCCTAAACCCTGAACCCTGTAATAAGGAACCTCCAAAATAATACTGGTAATTATCTGGGGGGTTCCGAAAATAGGGGACCGTAATATAGTACCCTAAATAGTAAGATCCCCTAAATAAGGTACCCCCTATTTTCGGAAACTCCCAACTAGACCCCTATATTAGATATGCAAGGGCCTGTGGGCCCCCGACCCCCGAGCCGGTCAGCCCGAACCAAACCCAGCAAACGCCTTGGAGTCCTAGATCCGGGGGTGTGTTAGGGCTTATAGGGCTTGGGGCTTAGGGTTTAGGGGTTAGGGCTTTGGGTTTAGGGTTTAGGGCTTAGGGTTTAGGGCTTATGGTTTAGAGCTTAGGGTTCAGGGTTTAGGGCTTAGCGCTTAGGGTTTAGGGCTAATCCTCAATACCAAAAGCCCTGCAAACAAGCAAGCTTGGACCCTGCGGAGATCACAAAGCCTACAGCCTACAGCACCCTAGAAAACCGGATGCAACCCGTAGAAAAGCCGTGCACAACCACCCAAAACGACCAACTTTCAAGGCACCTGAAGAGATGAGAAACCCTAAGGGTTCATGTATTCATATAGTATAGGTTTTAGGGTGTAGGGTTTAGGCATATAGGCATTGGCCCCAATATCCGCGAAAATGGATGCAGTCGTGCAACCGCCGGGGTTGCTGTAGACCCGGCCTGAGGTGAAGAGCTCCTTGAAGTTGTCGTGCACACGAGTCGTTGATGCAATCAATCCCGCCGGGTAAACCCGGCCGGATGCTGGCATGAAGCTCGTGACCGTCAAGTGGTCCCAGCTGGTGGCGGTCTGTGCTGCCACTGCGCGGCTCGCCTGATGCCTTGCGACGACGCCTCTCACCACGGCATCAGCACGCTCCGAAAAGCCCTTCTCATCCGTGCAGAAAAGCCTTTCAGGCCCGGTCAGCTCGCCGTCCTTGTTGAGGACTTGCTCTTGCTGGAGCAACGACAACAGATCTCGAAGGGCCTTCTCGATGACTGCTTCTGTGCAAGCAGAAAGTTCCTGCACGGGCTTCGCACGCAGTTTCTTGACCTGCAACCAATCACCTTGGGGCTTGTTGGCCTTGACACAGTCGCAAAAGCGGCGCCAGGCCCCATCCGCATCGTAATGCTGCATGAAGAGCTCCAAACGTGCTTCTGCTTGACTCGTGTCCTCGGCGCCATTCAAGATGCCTAGGTTCTCCAATTTGACCATGACGACGGCGCGTTTGCATTGGACCACTGACAGGGCTAAGCCAAACTTGCTGTGATATTGCACAAATGCCAGGAGTTCCTCTTGGTGCTCCCGTGTGAGCTGCGCCTGAGCATTCCTGCCCGTTCGGAACGCAGGAGGTGGCTCCGATGGAAGCATTCCTGTGAGGCGCAGCATGTTGTGCAGTTCTGCAAGCTTCTGCCGATTCACACGCAGTACCTATATAGGGGCTACTTTAAGGCCACAGTATCTACTATTTGGGTACATGGACCCTTCGGGAAAAGCAAGACATGCAAACCCGAAGCCTAAACCTCAACCCTGAAGCCCTAAACCCTACCTATAGTCTCCATGGTAGTTCGTTTTTGGGGATACCTTATACAAAACCTGAATATGTCCCTAAACCCTAAACCCTTAACCCTAAAAAAGGAACTACAATGGAGACTGTAGGTAGAACCCTAAAGCTCCCAAACCGCTTAGCGCTGTAACCGTCATCCCTCCGAACTGACTATAGGCCCTTTAGGGTTTAGGGTTTAGGTTTAGAGTTTGGGTAAATTTATAGAACCGGTAAACCACCTTCACCCTAAACCCTAAACCCTAAACCCTAAACCCTAAACCCTAAACCACCTTCATCCCCAAGCCCCAAGAAACTCTAAGAGAAGCGAACAAGCAAACAGTGTAAACCCTGAACCCTCAGCGAAACCCTGAACCCTTACATCCTTGACAATCCTTCTAGCACTCCTCAAACAAACCCTTTAAGCGAGCCCTCATAGCAAGAACCCCTAAACCCGAACCCCCAAACCCTGAACTCCAAACCCCAAACCCTAAACTCTAAACCCCCTTAAAACCCTAAACCCTTTCGCCCTAAACCCTTTGACCCCTTCATGGGAGCCCTCGGAAACCATCCCTAAACCCTAAACCCCAAACCCCCCTAAACATTACAGGGATCCCAAGAGCCTTGGAGCCAGAGAGGCTGCTCGAGAAATAATGGCTGCTGGCCAGCTCCTCCGCAGCGGCGCTGTTGGTTTGGGGGTTTAGGGCATAGGGTTTAGGGTTGAAGGGTTTAGGGTTTAGGGTTTAGGGGTTAGGGTTTAGGGTTCAGGGCAGAGCTGTTGGTTTTGGGGTTGGGGTTTCGGGTTGAGTGGAGGTCAGGGTTTAGGGCACAGGGTTTCGGTTAGAGTCACAGCGTTGGTAAGGGACCCCTGCCCTAAACCCTAAACCCTAAACCCTAAACCCTAAACCCTAAACCCTAAACCCTAAACCCTAAACCCTAAACCCTAAACCCTAAACCCTAAACCGGACCCCTGTGGAGGGGAACCCTGCGGGGTTCCAGTTTGCCAATGGCCCCCCAATGGGCCCTAAATCGAGTCTCAACCCTACGGGTCCATGTACCCAACTAGTAGATACTTTAAGGCCTTAAAGTCGTCCCTATATAGGTACTTTGGGGCCGATGTCTATACCTAAACCCTAAACCCTAAACCCTATACTACAGGAATACATGGACCCTTAGGGAAAGAGTTGCCCGTTTGCCCCCTAAACCCTAAACCCTAAACCCTAAACCCTAAATTGCCCCCCAATTCGGCCTCATTAGGCCCCATTGCACCCCATTGGCAATTGCAACCCACAGAGGTCCCCTCCACAGGGGTCCCCTATCAACCCTTCGATCTAAATTTAGGGTTTAGAAGTCAGGGCTTGGGTATAGGGATTGGGGGTTCGTGGCTTATAAGGCTGGGTTTAGGGTTTAGGGCCTTCATAATTAGGGGTTTAGGGTTTAGGGGTTTAGAGATTTAGGGTTTAGGGGTTTAGGGCTTTAGGGCTTCAGGGTTCAGGGCTTAGTGGTCCGTGCCTCTGGGCTTTGGGGCTTCAGGACTTAGCACCTTTAGCACAGGGCGTGTCGGCCTCGATCATTCAAGCGCCTTGAGGGTTTTCAGGGTTTAGGGTTTAGGGGCGCTTACAGCATACCTCTGTGTAAGATGACCTTGAACCCTAAGTGCCTGACCCTTGAAAGACCCCACACCCATGCTAAGCAGAGAACCCTAAACCCTCAACGCCCAATATGGTCCTAGCTCAACCCCAAACCCATCCTAAATCCGCAAAGCCCTAAACCCTAAACCCCCAAAGCCCTAAAGCCCTAAAGCCCTAAACCCCTATTTTCCTAAACCCTAAACGCCTAAACCCTAAAAAATCCAAAACCCCACAACGCTGAAGCCCTAAAACCGCTCAACCCCAAACCCAAAACCCCTAACTCCCCCCACAACCTTAAACCTAAAACCCTAAACCCTAAAACCCTAAACCCTAAAGCCCGTAAAACCCCTAAAACCCTAAAGTCCTAAACCCGTAAAACCCCTAAAGCCCCGCAAAAAAGCCACGCCTTCAGCGACCGCCAGAGGCTTCGCTTCAAGCGCACCGAGGCCCGCAGGCCTGCCGAAGAAAGCCCGAAGGGTCCAAAGGACCGGTTTAGGGTTTAGGGTTTAGGGCCTTAGGGTAGTAGCTAAGTAGGTTAGGGTTTAGGGTTTAGGGTTTAGGGTTTAGGGTTTAGGGTTTAGGGTTTAGGGTTTAGGGTTTAGGGTAGTAGTTATGTATAGGTTAGGGTTTTGGAGTGTGTATGATTATTAGGTACTTGGACCCTTGGGGAATGGGTCCCTTTAGTTTAGGGTTTAGGGTTTGGGGTTGAGGGTTGAGGGTTGAGGGTTGAGGGCTTAGGGTTGAAGGTTTAGGGTTTCGGGTTGAGGGGTCAAGGGTTTAGTTATATACTTTTAATCTTTATCGAGTAATATACCTTTCTGGGTTGTAGTTTTGGTCTCTGTAAAGCAATAAAATAACCCTGATTCCCTGACACCCCCAGTAGCGTGGACGCCTGGGATGGCATTGGGATCCCTTGCAAAAGGCCTGTGAACTAGGTACACTTGGCTATATATATATATATACATACACGTGTGTGTGTGTCTGTGTGTGTTTAACATCGGGACTGTGATAAGCATGGCTGCGTCCGTTGTCTCGCCCACTCGGTCCGCTGCCTTGTAAATCACCCGCGGAGCAGGCTCGTGGATGGTGGTCCAGACCTGGTCGAAATTCCCCACCAGGAGCGGATGGACCTCCTTTTTTTCCACGAGGTCGGTGATGAATTCGCGCACTGCGACGATGGCTGGGTGGTTCGTGGACACATGTTTGCCGGGTTTGGAGACCCGGCCAACTTGGAAGTCGAATTTCCGAAGAAAATGGTGGGCATGCTTGGTCATGGCGTTGAAAGGGAGCCTTTTCTTGGGCGCTGCGCTGCAAAAGACTCAAACCTTCCTCGCAATATCTTAAACTCCCCCGAAAACCCCAAACCTTGAGGCATTACCAAAAGGATGTCCGATACACGAACCTTTCAAAGGAAAGGGGCGATTTAATGATCCTTGCACCGAAACCTTTTCAGGAACCCCTGAAAGGAACCCTGCACAATGGCCCCAAAATAGAAGCTTTAAAAGCACCCATGAAAGGAACCCCTGACAAGAACCTTGCAACCCTAAACCCTAAACTAGGAACCCTTTTCAGGAGCCCCTTGAAGGAACTCTGTACACTGGCCTTTTAATGGAACCTTGTTGAAAGAAACCCTTGAAAGGAACCCTGCAAACCCTTTAAAGGAAAGGAACCCCACCCTTTAAAGGAGCCCCATATCCCGTTTAGAGAAGCCCCAGATCCCCTTCTAGGAGCTTGAAAACCCTAAACCCCAAACCCAGACCCCTAAACCCTAAACCCTAAACCCTAAACCCTAAACCCTAAACCCTAAACCCTAAACCCTAAACCCTAAACCCTAAACCCCAAACCCAGACCTGGTGCGCGCATGGCCGCCACGGCACTGCAGGCAACTAGGCCCAGGTCCTCTGAAAGCTCTGAGGTCTAAAGGCTTAGGGTTTAGGGTATTTCTAGAGTCCCATGGTTTGGGGGTTCAAGGCTTAGGGATCTTATGTAAGGGCCGTAAACGTTTAGGGTTGTTTATGAGGGTTTTGGGCATCTTCACTAGGGATCTTATACCAGGTCTTTGAAGGTTTAGGGTTTTACACGGTTTAAAGATTCTGAACCCGGGCCCTAAACCCGTAACACACCATCAATTCAGCTCAGTGGCGCCATTTGCCAAGTCCCAGAGCTCTTGGGCACCAAGGGCCTTGGAAGCATACAGCTTTGGAAGGCGAAGAATAGCAGCAATGAAGGGGCCTCAATACTTAGAGTATGCGTTGGGCGTGTATGATAATAGACCTATGCAAGGAGTCCATGCAGGACAGTACCAAAGGTGTGGGGCGTAGGGCCTAGGATCTGGCGTGTAGAGTTTTGGCTTCGGGGGTCTCGAGGGGTTTAGAGTTTCGATGTAGGATTTAAGATTTAGGAGTTTCGGGTTTACTTACTTGTTCAGGTTGTTGTGAGGACTCAAGTTATCCTCGGAACTGTTTCTAGTGTTTTCTACCCTCCCCTCCCTCTCCAAAAAACACGAAAACGAAGCCCCAAACCCTACGAAACACTAGGCCCTAAACCTCAAATCCGAATCCCTATCCCCAAACCCCAAACCCTAAACCTCAAATCCGAATCCCTCTCCCCCAAACCCCACGGACTCCAGGAATCCCCTAGAAGCCCCAAGCCCTAAGCCTCAAGTCAGGGCAACTGCAACAAGCCAAAACACAAACCCTAAACCCTAAACCCTAAACCATAAAAGAGCTCGCAGCGCAGAGGCCGGGCCTCGGGGCCAGTTTCCGAGCATCGCGCCAAGATCTGCAGGCTGCGTTTAGTCATTACTGGGCTTTAGGCTTTAGGCTTTAGCGATTAGGCGTTCGCGATGTTGCTGTGGTTGTTAAGTTTCTGTTGCTGTTGATAGGTGCTCGATGGTTGTCTGCTTTTCTGTTTGGTGTCAGCATGCACAAAATGATTCTGTGAGCACGGACGTCCTTGTGGGTACACGTGTGTGTGTGTGTGTGTGCATCCGTATACCGTACTGCTAGATTACCAGTCGCCGCTAAGCCGCTAAGACCGATGTCGCAATAGTCGCACTCGCCGTGGTCGTTTCTTTGAACCAGCAATCATATTGTCAGATGAAACAGCACCACACCCACAGTAGCACTAGAAGAAGTATATAGGCAAACAAGTAAAGCTACAAGCACATTGAAGGAGGAGGAGTCGCAGAGCAGCAGCAGCAAGAGGAGGCGGCGGAGGGGGAGGAGGCTCAGGAGTTGCTGTTGTTGTTGCTGTTGCCGTTTCTGTTGCTGCTCCTGTTATTGTTGCTATAGCTGTTGTTGTTGCTCGTGGAGGAGGAGGAGGAGGAGGTGAAGGTGGAGGTGGAGGTGGAGGTGGTGGTGGTGCCGGTGCCGGTTCCCGTGCCGGTGCCGGTGCCGGTCGTGGTGGTGGTGGTGGTGGTGGTGGTGGTGGTGCTGCTGCTGCTGCTGCTGCTGCTGCTGCTGCTGCTGCTGCTGTCGTTGTCGTCGTCGTTGTTGTGGTTGCTGTCGTCATAATGTAGTTGTAGTCGTAACTAGTCGTAGCTCGTAGCAGTACTAGCAGCAGCAGCAGCAGCAGCAGCAGCAGCAGCAGCGGTTGAACCCTAAACCCGCCTAAACCCTAAACCCTACAGCCCTAAACCCTAAACCTGGAGCGATAAGTCGGTATGCCAGCCTGCAGTGGCAGCCGCAGTGCTTCCTTCTCTGCTCTCTGAACTCTTGGGCTGATCGCTTAGAGGGTTTAGGGTTTAGGGTTTCTAAAGGTTGCAAGCTTGAGGGCTTTGTCCTAAGATTGTAGGAATGTGCTCACAAAAGGCTCGGCAGTTAAAGATTGAGTTCTATACCCTCCTGCGCCTTAGGCTATTCAGGAGACTTCAGGAAAGAGCTTGTGTGAAGCCTGAGTCTAGCAGTTTAGCATCTCAGAACCTCGAAACTCAGCGAATTTGTCCATACCCTTCTGCGCCTTAAGCTATGCAGGAAACTTCAGAAAAGAGCTCGTAAGAAGAAATTCTATGCTTGGGGGTTCCCTAAATTCTAACCCTAAACCCTGGATCTATAAACCCTAAATCCTAAAAACCCTAAACCCTGAATCCTAA